CCTCAGGATTCAATTTCCCAGGTTCCTGCTTCAACTTCGGTGTCACTGGCTGGTCCCGGGCGCAGTCACTGGGCGGCGTTCTGTGCGGCTGCACCTCACGCAGACAAGGAAGGTTGCCCGTGTCTGGTGGAGCTGTCCCTGGGTACGGCAGACTGATGGAGCTGGCTTGTGGATTGGTGCCTAGTTCCACGTGGGTACTTAAAGGTGTGGGTGGAATGGCACGAGCTCAAATAGAAAGCTCAGCCCAGACAAGCGCGAGGAGGGGAACATGCCCGCAGTAACCCAACTCTCCAAGAACCACAACAGACCCTGTTTTTTTCAGGATTCGCCCGCTCGATTACAGGGTCTGTTGTGGTTCTTGGAGAGTTGGGTTACTGCGGGCATATTGCCCTCCTCGCACTTGTCTGGGCTGAGCTTTCTATTTAAATTTCATGGTTGGAGGGATGAGACCAAGTAGTTTCTGGTGCGGCAAGCGGTTAAGGGTCTGCGCATGGGTCGGGTTTCTGTGGATTCTAGGAGACCAGTATCAAGGACATGGCCCTCACCAAATTTATATGTACAGTTTTATATGAATTGGATGCGTCATACAGTATTTTTTATGTTTTAATAAATGCTGTGGCCTGTTATATCCAAAGATTTAGTGTCTGTTGTTATTTTGGGGGGGGGGTCATGGTTGGTTTAAGGAGACTATCTCATCCAATGTCCACCATGTACATACAAGACGTTTAGGTTCTTAACATAAAAAATCCCAGTGTCAGTAAAGAACCATCTATGCTACCCTCCAAGGAATGCTATTAGGACTGGGGGGTGGGCAGACACCATAGAAGGTGTGCATTCATGCCGGGTTGACTGACAGCCTCTCTGGCCGGCCACACTTAGGACATCACAGAGCAGAACGCTTTTAATGCACCGTGGGCATTGGCTTGATACCCTGACTGTAGTTTGCGTAGTCGTTTGGAGTTCCAGCACTATGCTGATTGGGAACAGTTCCCTGGTGTCTCCAGATGCAGTACACGAGGAAACAAGCCCAGAGTAGCAAATCTTGAGTCTAAAATTGTGACTGTCCCCTGCTTCTGGCACTGTTGAGAGGTATGATATAGTCCAATCAATATGAAACCGCAGGCTTATTTTATCAATTTGTCTTTCATTGCAGCCTTAGTCACAGCACAGGATTTGTATTTATTTACTGTGTTGACCTCTACTACTTCTTCTGAAGCTTTACCGCTTCCACTGGAAGGCTATTCCAGGTATCTACAACTATTTCTACAGGGAGTGCAGAATTATTAGGCAAGTTGTATTTTTGAGGATTAATTTTATTATTGAACAACAACCATGTTCTCAATGAACCCAAAAAACTCATTAATATCAAAGCTGAATATTTTTGGAAGTAGTTTTAGTTTGTTTTTAGTTATAGCTATGTTAGGGGGATATCTGTGTGTGCAGGTGACTATTACTGTGCATAATTATTAGGCAACTTAACAAAAAACAAATATATACCCATTTCAATTATTTATTATTACCAGTGAAACCAATATAACATCTCAACATTCACAAATATACATTTCTGACATTCAAAACAAAACAAAAACAAATCAGTGACCAATATAGCCACCTTTCTTTGCAAGGACACTCAAAAGCCTGCCATCCATGGATTCTGTCAGTGTTTTGATCTGTTCACCATCAACATTGCGTGCAGCAGCAACCACAGCCTCCCAGACACTGTTCAGAGAGGTGTACTGTTTTCCCTCCTTGTAAATCTCACATTTGATGATGGACCACAGGTTCTCAATGGGGTTCAGATCAGGTGAACAAGGAGGCCATGTCATTAGATTTTCTTCTTTTATACCCTTTCTTGCCAGCCACGCTGTGGAGTACTTGGACGCGTGTGATGGAGCATTGTCCTGCATGAAAATCATGTTTTTCTTGAAGGATGCAGACTTCTTCCTGTACCACTGCTTGAAGAAGGTGTCTTCCAGGAACTGGCAGTAGGACTGGGAGTTGAGCTTGACTCATCCTCAACCCGAAAAGGCCCCACAAGCTCATCTTTGATACCAGCCCAAACCAGTACTCCACCTCCACCTTGCTGGCGTCTGAGTCGGACTGGAGCTCTCTGCCCTTTACCAATCCAGCCACGGGCCCATCCATCTGGCCCATCAAGACTCACTCTCATTTCATCAGTCCATAAAACCTTAGAAAAATCAGTCTTGAGATATTTCTTGGCCCAGTCTTGACGTTTCAGCTTGTGTGTCTTGTTCAGTGGTGGTCGTCTTTCAGCCTTTCTTACCTTGGCCATGTCTCTGAGTATTGCACACCTTGTGCTTTTGGGCACTCAGTGATGTTGCAGCTCTGAAATATGGCCAAACTGGTGGCAAGTGGCATCGTGGCAGCTGCACGCTTGACTTTTCTCAGTTCATGGGCAGTTATTTTGCGCCTTGGTTTTTCCACACGCTTCTTGCGACCCTGTTGACTATTTTGAATGAAACGCTTGATTGTTCGATGATCACGCTTCAGAAGCTTTGCAATTTTAAGAGTGCTGCATCCCTCTGCAAGATATCTCACTATTTTTGACTTTTCTGAGCCTGTCAAGTCCTTCTTTTGACCCATTTTGCCAAAGGAAAGGAAGTTGCCTAATAATTATGCACACCTGATATAGGGTGTTGATGTCATTAGACCACACCCCTTCTCATTACAGAGATGCACATCACCTAATATGCTTAATTGGTAGTAGGCTTTCGAGCCTATACAGCTTGGAGTAAGACAACATGCATAAAGAGGATGATGTGGTCAAAATACTCATTTGCCTAATAATTCTGCACTCCCTGTATATAAGTATCAGCATTTACTGCTTCCACTGGAAGGTCTAGGTATCTATTGCCCAATTGTTATATTTTTCTTCTTATTGTTATAACTTACATAATGTTAACATTCTACAATCAAGTTATTTAACAAGTAATTGACTTCAAAAATATTGTTGATAGACACAAGAGGTGAAAAAGGCACTGTTAAAACCAGCCTTTACTGCTTCCTCTGTAAGGTTATTCCAAGCACCTACTACCTTATCTATATCACTGTTAGCATTTACTGCTTCCAATGAAAGGTTATTCCAGGTCCCTACTACTCTCTATTAAGGATGTGCATGGCCGTAAAATTCGGTTCGGCATTCCGAAATTTGGCACTTCGGTTCGGTTCGGCACTTCCGAAATTTGGCACTTTGGCAATTCGGGACTTCATCACTTCGGTTCAGCACTTCCGAGTAGGGTTAGGGTTAGGGTTGGGTTAGGAGTATGGTCAGGGTTGGCAGTAGGGTTAGAAGTAGGGTTAGGGTCATGGTAAGAGTAGGGTTAGGTTTAGGAGTATCGTTAGGAGTAGGGTTAGGGGTAGGTTAGGGTCAGGGGTAGAGGTACCCTAACCCTACTCCTAACCCTACCCTAACCCTACTCCTAACCCTAACCTAACCCTACTCCTAACCCAACCCTAACCCTACTCCTTACCATACCCTAACCCAACCCTAACCCTACTCCTAACCCCTTTCCTAACCCAGCCCTAACCCTACCCCTAACACTACTCCTAATCCTACCCCTAATCCTACCTCAACCCCTAACCCAACCCCAATCCTACTCCTACCCATTTTGCCACTTTTTAGAAGTCCGAAGCACTTCAACACTTCTGAAATTCAGCACTTCTGCGGTTCGGCACTTCCAAAATTCGGCACTTTGGAAATTCGGAAATTCAGAAATTGCACATGTCTGCTCTCTATTTATTACTGTTAGCATTTGCTGCTTCTGCTAGAAATATATTCCAGGTATCTACTACTTTTTCTATATCACTGCTTCCACTGCAAGGCTATTCAAGGTATCTACTACATTTTCTATATCACTGTTACCAGTGGAAGGCTTGTGTGTAGGTAGCGGTTATCGTGTGGTGTGAACCATAACAATCCCCAAAATCGCTCAATTCCCCCCCCCAATCAAACTAGGAAACGTATATGTGGTATAAAAAGGCCACAGCTTTATTTATAAATTAACAAACAACTGTAAATAAACCAACCATCAATAATTTAGGTGTAAGTATGCTTATCTTCAAACTAGTCCTTGCCAACCGTACCACCAAAACTCTAGGGTACACCCCCCACCAAGGCATCGGCCCTCCCCCCTCGTCCAAGATACCTGGCCTTCACTTTGGCCTTCAAACTCCACATGCCAACCCCTGGCCACCTTTCCTGGCACGGAGGGCACGCCCAAATACCCAAAACATTTTCGAGGTCAGGGGAGGGACCCGACCCAGCATCTTTCTTTTTCTTTACTCCTCTTCCCAATAGGTTCGGCAAGGACCATACCCGCCGGCTGTGACAAGAAAAAATTGTTAATGACAAACAGACAAACAACGCAAACAAACAGGGGAGGGAGGGAGGGGACTAGTTACCTTGCCGTTAAATTTAAGATGGCTGAGGTAGCAGACAAAATGTCACCTATTTATATGACCCCACCCTACTCCTTAGCTAAATCACACACCCATACTTCCACCACACCCACACATGCCTCCTATCCGGCTAGCTTTCAGCCCGCCTCCTCTGGGCCTTGTGTGTAGGTAGCGGTTATCGTGTGGTGTGAACCATAACAATCCCCAAAATCGCTCAATTCCCCCCCAATCAAACTAGGAAACGTATATGTGGTATAAAAAAGGCCACAGCTTTATTTATAAATTAACAAACAACTGTAAATAAACCAACCATAAATAATTTAGGTGTAAGTATGCTTATCTTCAAACTAGTCCTTGCCAACCGTACCACCAAAACTCTAGGGTACACCCCCCACCAAGCCATCGGCCCTCCCCCCTCGTCCAAGATACCTGGCCTTCACTTTGGCCTTCAAACTCCACATGCCAACCCCTGGCCACCTTTCCTGGCACGGAGGGCACGCCCAAATACCCAAAACATTTTCGAGGTCAGGGGAGGTACCCGACCCAGCATCTTTCTTTTTCTTTACTCCTCTTCCCAATAGGTTCGGCAAGGACCATACCCGCCACTAGCCCCAGCTGCATTTACGCCTAAATCAGCGGGCGCGACCCCCAAGCAACGCCATGGCCTGTTCCAACGCGTCCTGTAGCGCTAAATTAAATAAGTCCAAGCCTACGTCAGTTAGATGGACCCTGTCCGGGCGAAAATAGATTGCTGCCTCGCGCTCAAAATACGGTGTCGCACTGTTAAGCCCCCGACGCCTAGGACAAATTTGGAAACCCGCTTATTAATCTTGACCCTGCAGCGCTCAATAGCACCCTGATCGCGTGCGCACTTCCAATAGTTCCTAGAAACGATATCCGACCATATTAAACAAAGTCGTGGAAAAGCACACGCAAGCGCGCCAAATCTCGCCTGATGAGTTCCCCCAGCCCCCACGCAGGCAGGGACCCCAGATCGTTCCCCCCCAGATGCACCACCAAGATGTCCGGGGCTCCTAATAAAGTGGATAACTGCACGACCTCCGGTAATAGCTGACCCCATCTCATGCCCCGGAACCCGAACCACCGGACCTCCGCCAGCTCCCGAGGTATTCCGAGCAGTGTCCCACCCGGGCGTACCCCAGCCCGCAGGTGAGCCCAGTAGATGTACGAATGACCGATCAACCAGATCCGTCGGCCAGGCCCTGTGGAGAAAACACAAGGGGGACACCGATCAGACGTGTGGGCCGTACATAAGACCGAAACCTCCCCGATTCCCATCTGCCAATCCTCTGAATGGCCTGGTCCAAAAAACCTAAACGGGAGGCTTCAGTTGCGGCCCCAATTCGAAAAGAATGTCCCCCAAAGTCTGTACTCGAAATACCCAGTTGGTCGAGTGCCAACCGAAAGACCCGAAGAAATTGGAACCGAGAAAGGAAGGAACCGTCCCCATGAATTAGTAGAGGGCCCTCAACGTCCGGGCGACCAAGACAATAAGACTGAAAAGATGCGACAGGGCAGACAGCCGAACCCGGAATAGTGCGGAGGGTAACCCATGCCCCTTTGCCGAAGATGTCGGTTTTGGACCTTCGTACCAAAAACGCACTGAATCCGACACCACAGACACATCGTTGAACAACAAGCCCCCCGGGATCCGTTTGCTAGGGCTCACAAGCTCACCGATTCGAAGGGCGCCGAAAAAGGCGAAAGTAAAAGCCAACTGGAACAAACGTGCCTCCGAATCTGAAAAACAAACCCTGGGTAAGACCGACGCAATGCATACTAGCAGAGCGCCAGAAACCGGCCTCCGAGAATCCCGCAGGTGTGGGCCCTTGCGCCAGCCGCGCATCGTAAGCCGAACCATGCAGTCCTTGTTAACGTCAGGCACCTTAGTCAAGTTGAACCAGAAACTAAGACCGGATAGCTTCCCTGAAACCGTAGCCGGAGAACACCCGCTAGCCTCCCAGAACCAGAGCAACCGTAAGATCCCCTGAACCCTTGCAGAGGTCGAATCAAACCCACCTAGGTCTTGTTCCAAAGCAACCCAGTCCCCCCATGCCTTACCGTACCGAACCCAAGTTGCCTCAGACACCGAAGACCGAATCCATTCCCTTATCCGCTCAGGCCAAGGGACCATAAGTCTCTGGGACAGGGGAGGCCTTCCGTGTCCGCTTCCGGCGCGGCCAAACGAAACACCTGCCAGTGGAAACGAGAAAGAGCATCAGCCGTGGTATTCTCCACACCAGGGATATGCACAGCGCGGCAAGTCACATTAAAAGACAGACATTGTAAAACCAAGCGCCGCAAGAGCCGAACTACAGGAGGGGAGGAGGCCGTTAGCCTATTAATGGCCTGGACAACGCCCAGGTTGTCACAGTGGAACACAACACGCCTGTTCTTGATCTCTGGCCCCCAAAGATGGATAGCCACCACAATGGGGAAGAGTTCCAAGAAAGCCATGTTCTTGGTCAGGCCAGAGGTGAACCACGATTCGGGCCAAGGCTCCGCACACCATTGCCTTCCCATGATAGCCCCAAAGCCCGAAGACCCCGCGGCATCCGTAAACAGGTGCAGCACCGAGTTCGTCACCTCGGGCTGCTGCCAGTAGGACCTGCCGTTGTACCCATCCAAAAAGACTGCCCATACTGCCAAGTCCTCCCTGAGCGCCTTGGTCAAGCGGACGAAGTGAGACGGTTTCAAAATCCCAGCCGTAGCGGCCGCAAGGCGCCGGTTGAACACCCTGCCCATCGGCATAATCCGACAGGCAAAGTTCAATTTGCCCAATAGGGATTGAAGTCGCTGCAACGTAATTTTTCGCAAAGTGGTCGCCACTCGCACCACCTCCCGAAGATCAGCCAATTTATCCAATGGAAGCCGACATTCACCAACAACGGAATCAATCTCGATCCCGAGAAAGCACAGGCACGTAGAAGGGCCAATTGTTTTTTCTGGTGCCAGCGGCACTCCGAACTCGCAAGCAACATCCGCTACTGCTTGCAGGAGGTGCGCGCATATCGGGGAGCGCGCAGGGCCAACACAGAAAAAGTCATCCAGGTAGTGAAGCAAGGAATCGTAACCGGATTCCGCTCTAACTACCCATTCCATGAAGGAACTAAAACATTCAAAGTAAAAACAGGATATCGCACAACCCATCGGGAGGCACATGTCCACGTAATAATGACCTTCGAATATACAACCCAGGAGGTGGTGGCACTCCGGGTGAACCGGTAGGAGGCGAAAAGCCGACTCAATGTCCGTTTTTGCCATAAGTGCCCCGGGGCCAGCAGCCCTGACCATATCCACCGCCGCGTCAAAGGACGCGTAGGAAACGCGGCACAATTCAGCGGCAATGTCATCATTCACCGAGCCCCCTTGAGGATGCGATAAATGGTGAATCAGCCTAAACTTGCCTGGTTCCCTTTTGGGTACCACACCCAGTGGTGAAACCCTCAAATCGAGTAGTGGAGGCTCTCGAAAGGGGCCCGCCATGCGACCCAGCGCTACCTCCTTAGCCAATTTTTCCCTTACCACCCCCGGGTGATCGGCAACTGATCTCAGGTTCCGGCAGAAGCCGGAGACCTGCCGGGCCCGGTGAGGGATCCAAAACCCTTGTCCAAAACCCTCCAATAACAAGTCAGCCGCCTTCTTATTGCTATAACGCTTTGGCCAAGGGCGCATCGCGTCTACGTCCACCGGCGTCCTCGCCCTTAGCGCCCATGGCATCTCCTTTGTCGCCGGTCCTACCTCGCTTGAAGCATTTTGATGCTGGGTGAGAACCGCCGCACCCGGAACATTCATGCTTGAAGCGGCAGGCGGAACCGAACTTACATTGGCCGTCGTTATATTGCCAACAGTACCCAGTCCTCCGCTGAGTGGCCGACGCTGAAGATGAGGACCCAGCGCCGGCCCCCCCAAGAAAGGACGAAAGGCCCCCTTGATGCGAAGCTGGGCGGGTCATGATGGCCAACCACAAGCCGATATCCATTTGATCCCAACTCGTGGAAGGGCAAACCGCCAAACGTTGGCGGAACTGTTCATCATACCGCCACCACCCTAGCCCGCCATAAACCCGACAGGCATTCCATATCATGTCCTGGTAGCAAAATAG